CATTTAGTTGAAAACAATTTCAAGTTATTATCAGAACTAATGTTTAACAACAGTGAAACAAAAGCATCATCACACATCTGTGTTACTAAAAGCAGCATATGCGTTTCGTCAAGAACAAGTAAACACACAAAATATTCGAAAAAATATTTAACAAAATATCCGACACATTTCTCGGTGGAGACCACAACAAAGAAAAGAAAACTAATCCTAGAACTAAAACATGGATAAGAGATGAAACAACCAAAAATGAAAATAAAACATGGATAAAACACTACTTTTTGTATTTTTGTAGTTTAAGATCATTATTCGACTATGACCGAACTGCTTTCTTCAAAATCAGATCTATTTTGAAAGTGTGAACACATGTTCTGTAAAAATGAATAATATACAACAGCAATTTTTCTTTATAGATCTTTTGTGAGTAAACAATTTATATACATTACAACAAAAACGATTGTGAATGCCTAAGCTTTTTCTATATTCACGGAGTATGCAAACTCTTCATGATCTTTTCGTTCTTGATCTTATTACATACGACTCACACCTTTTGTCCGAAGCGCCACATGGCAGATCGAGAAAAGACAGTAATAATAGAACAAGAGGAAGAAGAAAAAAAAATTGAACCATAAGAGAAGAATTACATTATTTACAGAAAGCCTACGAGAGGAATGGGAACGGCGGAGTAATGACTCCGGCGACCGTTGATCACCGTTGAATATTGAACTGGCGGCGGAGGACGGTGACGGAAAGCTACTTCGATTGATTCTGCCACAGCGGCGACGAAATCTACTGTTAATTTCACCAACTCGATGCAAATCTCCAGTTTTAGAGTCACCATTGCAGACTAAGAAAACTGACTTTGTTTTTAAAAATATGCTTTTTGATTTCTTCTCTCTATTTTCCGCGTCTCCAGTTATCTTGCTCGTCTTTGCGAAGTCTTACATGCAAAAACCAGAGTTGTATATATACAAATATCAAAAAATGTTAGTTTATTCGAGTGGATTATTATAATTGGTCGATTAAAATACCACGTGGCATTAAACTTGCAAGCAATTATTAGCAAGTTTTTTGTTTCTTATCTTTGGAAGATGCTTCGTTGGCCTTTGGCTTATACGGAGAGCCAATAATTCGTAAAGGCCGTTTCTTTACATACAAGATTGCAATTAAATATATATGTATAACGTTATTGTATACGCATATGGGTATTTATGTGTGTTTATAATTTAATTATATACATTATGGTGTGGTGTATAGAGAGAAGCAAAGGTTGTTAGACAACGAAAACATAATTCCATCCAACGGACAATTATTATATCACGTTGATACTTTTAAACAACTAAATTAGCCATGCCGGATCTGATTTTAAATACATTTAAACTTTGTATCAACATGTTATTGTCGCTTCGGGCTTATATCGAAGTTTAGAATTGCATTTAAACCACATGTATGCAATTCTGGAAGTTTTATAAAATAATAACCAGAAAGATTTTAAACGACGGCCCTTTTTGTTTACAGAAAAATAATACACATAATAATATTTGGGATTTATTGATTAAACAGAAAATCATTGACATTAAAAACAAATTAATTGTTGATATCCTTGATATTGTAAAGTACTGTATACATAGTATAGTCCTGATAGATTTGAGAATGTATGATTTTAGGTGAATATAAAGAATGGTATAAAGTTCAGTGGAAGATCGAAACATCGCTGTCAAATAGGGGTAGGCAAAATATCTGTTATATCCGTTTCGAACCGATATTTGCTTTGATCCGATTTGAAAAATCCGGATATCCATAAGGTTTCGGAGCAAAGCAAATAGCAAAATGTAGTATCCGTACAAAACGGAGCAAATCACAAATATGTTTTTAGATAACGCCGGATATCCGATTCAATCCGTATCTTTATAAATTTATTATATATTATTATATATATATCAATTATATTATAAATTTTTATTAATATATTCTCAATTTTCTTCCTAAATTTTTAATTGTTCTTTTGATTATATAAAATAAATAACTAAATAACCAATTATAAAAAATAAATAATATGTTTAAACTTAAAATATGTTAATAAATAATATTTTATTTTATATTAGTAAATAAATATCAACAAAAGTTTTTTAGTAAAGTTTAATATTAAAGTTTCAAATAGTTAATATTATTTTTAAATATAAAATATCATTTTTTCCTCATCTTAATTTTGTAAGTTTATTTTTTATAGATTTTTTTTATAAAATAAAATATTTTCTTTTAGTTATTTTCACTTAATAGTTTAGATGAAATTTTTTTTTTATAATAAAAATTGATGTACTTTCAGTTTTGTGTATATTAAACGGATCAAACTAAATATTCATAAATATTCGTAAATATCTGCAAATACTTGTAAATTTTTCGGATATCCGAAAATCCGGATATCCGTATATTTCTGGAGCAAATCAAATCATAAAATTAAATATCCGTTAAAAACAGAGCAAACCACAAATACAAAAAAATTTCCGGATATCCGATCCGTGCCCACCCCTACTGTCAAACGTCTTATAAAAATGAAATTACATTAATCCTTTCTTGATTATTTAAATCTCGTAAATATTGATGTTAGTGATCATATTAAGCAAATGAAAAAAAAATCAGATATGCATTGCCGTGATCCTGCGGCTTTGGCTAGATGGATCAGGACGAAAGATTAACACCAGTGGGCACGAGGAGAGACAGTGGGACAAAGATTTTGATCTTTGATTTATTTCCATTTTTTTAATAGTATTTTGATTTATGAAGATATGTTCCATGTGTGACATTAGTTATTAAATGTGTTTATGTTCTCCATCGCAGTGGAAGGCCGACACATATCTATTTCTAATGAATATATCGATTGGTTCTCGTCACTCAGCAATAATAAACAAAAACAACAAAGTGTTTGTAATAAAGTGCTGTCATAATAACTCATAAAGATCAATAACTATTCGTTTTCTAGAATGATTATCACTCTTTTATCACATACACCTGTTCGCGTTTCCCAACCAATGTCCAATTAATTATACGTAAAACAACATAATGCTACATAGTGTGATATATCCTTAAATGTGAAAAGCATCTAGAAATGAATAATATTTTCTCAGTTAAAAAATAAGGTATATATCTTCCATGATTAAAAAGCTCATATCAAATCCAAATTAGTATTAAAATATGTAAAAGTTTTATATACGGCATATTAAATGTTGAGTTGTGGTTACCGTTCTAAGTTTTAATGAAAATTAGTATTTGCGCAAAAAAAGTGTTTATCTGTTTGTATTTTCGAAAATATACGTAACAGTCAGTACAAAACCCTAAACCAAATTCGACAATACGACCCCACAAAATAAACATTATTGAAACTGATACTATGACTGTAAGAGGCTATTTAAAAGAGATATGATACTCTCTCCTTAATCACTTAACATTAAGAAGGTAGTCCAAAATTAGTTAATGAAAGGAAAATCTTAAATGTCGTCCCTCCTTCAATGTCAATTAAAGGCTCCTCACTAAATTCTTAAACAATGCATGCGAAATTAGGCAACGATATTAATCCAGTGGTCCATTATTTACATATTCTATGTTCAATCTCTAACATTGAAGGCTCCATGGTTGTTTTCTTTTTCTTTTCTATTAAAAAGGATCCTTAACGTATCATAGTAGTCTATTAATAAGATTTCCACTGTACTTATAGTATCGATCGAATCACTTTAAAAGATTCCAGCATGTGCTTCAAGCTTTGTTTGGTGGTTCGTTCGTGGCATCATGGTATTAACTTATTAATTGATTTGGTTACATGATTAAAGTCTAAACAAAGCACCAAAATTAGCGTACCGTATTAGTCTATTAACAAGTTAAGCCACCGTACTATACAGATTCGAATCACACAGAAGATTCCAGAGTTAATATGATTCGAATTTGAGAGGAAATATATATATTTGTCGGAAAACAAAATTGGGTGGTTGAGTCCGTGGTAACTGGTAAGACGGTTTCAAAATATTAAAATTGATTTGATCACATGTTTAAAGAGCCACTTAAATGGATGTTTAATGTATAAAATGACTAGACTAAAATAACACTAACGTATAACGAGAATAGATATGATCACGTAACAACATCATATTTTGTACGCCGACACTTGACAGCAAACCTTTCTTCAACGTTATTTGTGAGCCTTATCCACTTATTTATTATAGAGAATCCCCTAGAAACAACCACAAATGGTTTGTATTTTTATTTAAATTGTTTCTTTAGACTATCTCAATCGGCTGAATACCTTAAAAGTATTTTTTTTTATAAAAAAAATATTAATTTTTAAATTATAAAAAGATTTACACCAATCAGAAAGTGATATATATTTAATGAGATTCTTCAAAATGTATGAACAGTTTCTAAAACTTGTTAATAAAAAGTGTTTTATATTCTTTCTCTTGCTTTTTATTATTTTATAATTTTTTTTGGTAAAAGATGATTTTAAAAATCCTCCATTGGATGCACTTATCATCTACTTCATTTCAAGCAGACTAAATACAAATGTATACAATAAAGTCTGTATCTCACATGAAAAAATGATCAAACGTTACACGCAAAGCAAAGGCCATATTAGTCAACTGCGATTACCGAAATGATCAGATTCATTCTCTAGCTATTTCTACAATAGAATAACCTGTTTATTTGTATACAATCAAGTAGTACAGAGAGAATGAATGAGATTTGTATAACTCAGACGACTCTTTTTTTTGTGATTACAAAAAGTTTTGTAAGGTGATGATTAAATGACCTTTTTAATTATAAAATACAGCTTGTATATAATTTTTCTGCTTCGATATAGAAAATATGAAAATTAATACTTAACCATTTTGGAGAAATTAGTTGGAGACTTCTCATTTTTTTTTGGATTTTTTTTCATTTCTGGTCACGTGATACAGATCAAAGGATTAGAGAGGAGCCCACGTGATCTTACGCTGGTCATTGATGCAGGTGATCCCAGCTTACTCCACCCTTTCTCTCTCCCATTAGGGTTGAAATCTCGTTTCTGCAAAAAAAAATTCTTATCGTCTTACTCAGAAAACATCTCCTTCAATGGACTCTGTGTGAAGTGTGAACAAAACAAACAAACTCGAAGCAACAGATTTTAGATACAAATGGCGATGTCTCATCTCTTTCTTTCTCCGCCCCATCCGTCAGTGGCTCTGCGACTTCACTCTCCTCTTCTATCGAACCAGGTAACGAAAACCTCTCTGCTCTTCTAGCGAAACTTCGATTCCTCCACGACCTAGAAAAAATTGTTACTTTTCATTATTTCTTCTGTGGGTCTTTTGACTGAAGACTAAAATTTCGATTGATTATAGATTCCGTGGAAGATTTACACTTAGGTATATAGCCTCTGCAGAATTTAATCTTGGACACTACGAAATGTAATTGGAACTAATATCTGTTTATATCTGATCAATTTGTGAAAAATTCCCATAGTTTGATCATGTTCTTCTTTATCATTTGATTGTAACTTGTGATTATGAGTTGTTTGATTTCTCTATCTTTTGTTTGCAGTTTACGTTGAGCTACTCGAAGAACAATAGAGACTGTAAAACCTTTAAGAGTGCAAATGAAGCTAAAGTATCAAAGGGATTCCTCTGTCGCGCCATTCATATGGAATCTGAACATTCAGGGGAACCAAAGAGGCTTAGTTTCGATAATCTATTGAGGAAAACGAAAGAAGTCTGGAACAGTTCTCCACAGCCAATCAAGGAGTTCCCTTGGGATAAAGCATTCGAAAACTTCATACAGCTCGTTCTTGATCTCACCATATCTGTCGTCAAGTTCTTGTTCGTTCCCATACTGGCCGTTTCTTCAATCAGCGAGATGTCGTATTGTGCACATGAGAGGAAGCTTGCTCTAGTCCCGTTTCCATTACTCATCGGTGTGGTTCTTGGAGGCATTCTTCAAGGGACCTTTTTAAAGATCTCTCCTCGTCTTAAGGTAGTAGACAAGAAAACAAAACCTGAATTTCAGCTCGCTTATTGAATAGCAGTCTATGCATTTAAGGTTGTTTATGTTACTAATCTTATAGATTGCATTTTTGTTTTCCGCAGGAAGCTGATGTACCGTGGCATTTGATAGCTATGATGATGGTCTTCACTCTGATCAAACTTCCTGGACCGTACTATCCTTATTGGGGACGTTTGTTCGTTCCACATTTTGCAAATGGAGTGTTGGTTAGATCACTTTGGTCCATGTTCTTTTGGTACAAGAAGACTAGAAACACATCAGGAAGCCCTCTGCAGAATCAAAGCGTGGAAACAAAATGAGCAGATCTTCATCTAAGGGTACACTCTTTGATTTGGTTATGATAAAGCTTTCAACACACAATAAACATATATGGAGATGCTTAGTGATGACTTTAGTTTATGTAATCTTTCTACAGTTGTTTCTTTTAGGTTGGCAAGTGGTGACTTGATTAGTTCTGGGAACCTCGCGGATTAGTTTCTGAGCATAGATAGAAAGTTTTCTTCATCTTCTTTTTCATCTCTTCCAATCTCAGAAAAAGTTGAGGTAAAGGAGTTAGCACCTTTTTAAGGCATAGGATTGTTTTGTTCTGTATTCTCCTATTGACAATTTTTATGTGAAACCACACTGTTCGTTGGGTATGTTGTATATGTATCTTGAGTTCGAACAACGAGGAGCAATGATTCACTTTTGTTTCTGAGCATACATAATTATTATTAGATTAAACCCAAGAAACTAATCCTGGATTCTTCACGTTTAGTGTATATTTTTGTTGATTCAAACTCAGAAATTGCGTGTAAAAGATTTTCGAAGCGCAGAATTGATCTCTAATATGTTGTAGAACTGATAAAGCTTCAGTAAGTAAAATAAAGAATTTTCAGTTGATAACTAGCAGAATCTTCATTAAATCTAAGATGCAAATTGGTTTGATTTGTCTTTCTTCAATTTTTTTTAAAACAAAGAAGAAAAACATTATCATCCTCTGATGCAATTTACTTAAACTAAAAGCATTATTATTCAGTAAGGTCTAATGAGTAATGAAAAAAGAAAAGGTTCTAATGCGTTATGATACTAGAATTGATCAAAACGCAGGTGAAAGTCTCAGTTTTTCAATGCACTTTACGGTCGTTCGATTTTGGTTCGTAAAAATGATCTTGAGAGCAATGGCGGAGAAAGGAAGAAGAAACACAAACTCCAATTGATCAAAACGCCGCGTTTCAGCAGCAAGTTCACAGGCTGTCATGCAGAATAAAGCCGAGAGCCCATTAACAATGAATTAAGCCCAACAAAAACGGTGCGTTTTGGGGTTTGGCCACATATAAGTAAAACGGCGCCGTCATGCAGAATAAAGCCGAGAGGCTCATAGAAAATGCAAAACGGTTGACTTTGTAGTTTTCTAACATATTGACCGCTGAAAAAAGGAAATACGTAAACAAAAAGGAAAGTTAATCTTAACCGTCAGTATCTGATTAGATCTTGGCCGTCAATTCTTTTTTCTAGAGCATGTATAAATAGATCTCTCTTCCCCTTGTTGCTGCATCAGAAATCAGAGAGAGTTCTTCGTCTTCGTTTAGAAAGAAGCAAAAACTTCGGATTTTTTGATTCGAAAGCATTTGTTAGGGTGAAGAATGACTATTCCAAAGTCTTTCTACTTCAAAGTGTACAAGATTGTGGATAATCCTTCCTTGGATCCGATCATCTCCTGGAGCGAAAGCAACCACAGTTTCATAGTTTGGGATGTGAAAGCGCTTTGCAGAGAGATTCTTCCGAAATACGCTGGATTGGACAGAAACTACACACAGTTTGTGTCAGAGCTTCGCTTCTACGGCTTTGAAAGAGTCGCTGGGTCTGCACAACAGGAGTTTGGGAATGCTGATTTCGTCAGAGGCCAGCCAAATCGTCTCAAGAAGATGCTGTTACGAAGGATGGCGAAGATCTATGCAATGAAAGTAAAGATCGCTAGAGACAGGGCAAGTCAAGATCGAGTCAAGGTAGAGAATCTCCTTCAAGATTTACGACTCTGATCCAACAACATCGTCTTCTCTTCTTGTAATGAAAATCTGCCATTTTTTTTTTGTTTGTTTTACTTTTTGCTTACGATTCTGTCTACATTCAGAAACAGTATTAATCAAAAAAGTTATTCCATTGTCTCTGTTGCAGTTTTTGACCTATAATATTGACTCAATAGTTTCTCGCTACAAATCACAACCAATTTGTCACAACATTCCGGCCACTTAACTCTATCGCAGTTGAAAGAAACGAAGAATCAATTTACCGTTCTTGAAAAAGAGTCAACTTTCGTCAAAGACTGAACAATGATTCGTCTTTCGAAAGGTGTCAATTTTGGTAAGTTGTTTCATATAGACGAACTCAGATTCACCTGATGTTGTGTAAAGCGTATTTGTTCACTCTCGGTATATATAGTGACAAAACTGGACCTTACCAGAGCTGTTTTGACTTGTGACTAATTCTTTCTATAATCAGACTTTAGACCTAATGCAATGAGTAAAGAGAGATGTGCTAAAATGTTTCAACTTAGCTACCAAGATTTGCGTAAATAGTACACTGATCCTGTAAAGAAAGAGAGATATTTGGTCATGATTCTTAGAAACACCAGAAGATGTTTTGTGTTTTCAGTCAAAACTTGAAGTTAAGCTCTGGTTAGTCTCAGACTTCTCGGTTGGTCTTCATGCTAACCCATTTACTGGCCATAGCAGAGCAAGAGCTGTTGTACCTTCCTCTGTGTCTATAATCTTAGAAGTGACGGTTGCTTGAGACAGACAGGAGTGGAGTTTTGTCAGAAGAGAACTTATGTCACTGCCCAGCTTTGAGATTGCAATTGATTTCAAGTTTTTATGGTATTTATATAGTTTTTGTGAATGGTTTAAATGTGTTAAGAATGTGAAAATGCGGAAGACGACGATGAGACAAAAATTGAAAGAAGAGGAAGATCCGAGAGTGCTAAAACAATTCAACTTAGCTACCAAAATTTTCAAAAATAGTACAATGATATGCTATATAGAGAGAATTTGTTCATGATCTTAAAATACCACAAGGTGTTTTGTGTTCTTCTCACTCAAAACTTGAAGTCAAAAACTCTAACACAATTATCATCCCCACAAGAAGTTAACCTCAGGAAGCTCTGGTTAGTCTCTGATTTCTCGGTTGGTCTCCATGCTAACCGGTTCACGGCCGAGACGTGACACATGAACGGCTCAAGCCGCAGAGCAAGAGCTGCTGTTGCTGTTGTACCTTCCTCTGTTTCTTTAACCTTTATGTTCCACAGCTCTATAAGTCCACTCTCCATCCCAACCGCTATGCACCCACTCTGCTCCTTGTGGTCTATTCCCGTCCAAGCCACGGCAGTGACACTGCTCCCAAATTGAGGCAAGACAAGAACCTGTTTGACGCGAGCGTCTTTCTCCATGGACCAGATCTTCACTGTCTTGTCTCTTGATGACGTTGCAAACTGGTGCCCAAATGGGTTCCATGAACATGCCCAGATGATCCTCTTGTGTGCTTCAACCTTTGCCATGAGTTTGTGACTAACCTCGCCATTCTCTGAACAGAGATGATCAAGGAGGAAAACAAAACAGACAGAGACTTAAGAGGATTGTAGAGAGAGACACTCAAGACTAAACCAGGGTAAAACAAGAATCACAAAATCTTGAGACTTCTGGATCCAAGTCCAAGGTTTTACCTGTTCTTTGGATTGAGAAAACTGAGAAGTGACGATCTCTGGAGACAGACAAGAGCAGAGTGTCGTCATAAGAGAACTCCAAGTGTGTCACTGTCAAGCTGTGAGATTGCAAACGACCAACAGCTTTCCATGTCCCAACCTCCCAGAGCCATATTTCCGCCATGGCTGCAGATTGAGCCTGGAGATGTTTGTGGTTTCATTTATAAGTTAAATTCAGTTTCGGAGTCCTTCTGTCATAATGAATCGAAGAGATCGAGCAAGTGTAAACAAATCCAAAAACCAAATCAGCTTACCTTACACGATGAAGCAACAAGGATTCCGTTGTGGTCACTGCACAAAGAAAATAGTTCATTACCATGACCATAGAGTTTATGAGATTCCGGCCACAAAGTATGAAACGCAAGCTGGTCTTCGATTGGAGGCTCCTTCAACTCCGCCGGAGCAGCCTCTGGAACCGTTTCAAATGTCTCCAAACCTTCTCCTCCGCCATTTCTCTCTAGTGGCTCACTAGAAGCTGCAAGAAAAAAAAGAAAATACTATGAATCTCAAGATTGTATCTGGTACAAAGCTAAGAAATGATGTTGATTCAATCACTCACAATGTAAGTAGATAGGCTTCTGTGATAAACCAAGAGCAGACATATTCGCACCAAGGACCTGCACATCTGCTTGTAAATCCTCAGGGAAACTTCCTTCTCCTCCGGCACAAGTGTGGTTCAGTGTCTTCAAGAAAGATAGAGGAGCCTCAAAAACTCTCACAACTTTCTCCTCTGCTCCACTTACAAAACGGTGGTTGCCTTTACCTTGAACCATAGCCACACAATTAATGTCATGACCATGAACCTGAGGACGAGCCAGTTCATGCCAATGCTCATCCTCTGCTTCACTTCCCTCATCACTCTTCCACGATGAGAACACGCGGGTCGTCTGCAAAATCGCAATTTTACATAATGTAATGTCAACAAAGTTTACTTTTTCGTCTGAACATCTCTAAACCGTAAATCCTGACCTGATCATGGCTCACGGAAAGCAAGTACTCGCCGGTTCTAGCCCAAGTGATATCAGTCACAGCAGAAAAATGGCCAGAAGGGACTTTCTGCATCAGCCAGTTCTCAGACTCTTTGCTACTGCTGACATTTCTCCAGAGATGAAAAGATCCGCCGTATCCATGAGCAAGAATCGACGCACCATCGGGGCTCCAATGGCCACCGTAGAAACCAAGAGCACAGTGACTAAGCTCTCCTACACACACAACGTTCACCCACACACCCGTTTTCTTCTCAGGGCGCCATATCATCATCGTTTTGTCCATTGAAGCCGATAAAATGCTCAGCGGTTGGTCGTTGTTGACCGGAGGTTGCCATTCCACTGAATAGACCCAATCTTCATGTCCAATCAGAACAGATTCCACAGAAATCTGATATGTGAACGCCCCTGAGACGAAAACCGGTCCTTCAATGTAAGAAGCTAGAGTGATTTCTCTTTTCCATGAGCCAGCATCACCGACTAAGACAAGTTTCCAGATTCGAATGACTTTGTCCTGTGAAGAACTCACAAGCATAATACTATTGGTGGTTTCTTCTGTTGAATGTAACGGTAATGAGAAGTCCAAACTCCGGATCCAATCAGTGTGGCCTTTGAGCTCACAAACAGAAGTAAACTGAAAAGAAAGAGCCAAAACTAAATGCTCAGAAAACGAAAAACAAAACTGAGAATACATTGGCGCAAAAAAAGGCGAAAGCGGAAAGTACCTTCCCCTTTCTTTCTCCACAGTAAAGTTTGATCTTGTTGTCCAATCCCCCCATCGCGAGGGTGAATCTTCCCGGATTTTGAGGCAATTCAGCTAACGAAAGCGTCACTATCGCTTTAGAATCAACAGAAAGAGTGTCCAGACACGAAACCTTACACTCGTCTGCACCAAAGAACAAGAGGATGATAAATTTTAATCTATAAACTGCAGGCTGAGACAGTTTGAAGTGTGGAACCAGATGCTTACCGCTAGACTGAGACGGGAAAGAAACATCCCAGAGATTCACAACTCCATCTGAAGAAGCAGAAGCAAACATTGCATCGGTTTCTGAAACCATATAGGCGGTGATGCAAGTTACACCTTTCTTGTGAGACTGTGGTAGTTGTAGTACATGTCTCCACTGTCATTAAACCAAACATGACACTTAATGAGGATAAGAGACGATACAGAAACCGTAGAGAAACTCAGATCAGACTGAGACTGAAGAGCTTTTTACATTGTTATTGACAGTCGAAAGTTCCCAAAGGATGATGATACCATCTGTATCACCCGAGAGCAGATAATGTCGGTCCAAATGCTTGGCTGCGAACAATCATATAATTTCAAGGGATTAACCATTGGATGTTTGTCTCGTAGAATCTATAGTTAAATGCTTCAAGAAAAGTTTAACCTTTCACAGCAACTAAACCACCAAACCGGTGATAGAGACTATAAATAGAAAACTTGAATGCCTATGCCCTTCACAGTTTACTAAAGATAGCTATAACTCACAAACTGTTCAGTCTAAGTTCTCTACTTGATCAATGGGCACAATTAGCTTTAATAAATCATGTAAGTAAATCAAAGCCTCCTAACATCAAAATTATCTTGTTTTGCAATGCATATGCGATTCAAAACTCTAAATCTCTAATAAAAACGCCCATTAAACCCATTGCCAATGGGTAAAAAGAAGGTACCTTTGAAAGCAAACTTACTGCTGGGTAACCAATGAGTGCAATTCACAGAGGCTTTGTGACCTGGAAGCGTAGTAAGAATCTGGGCAGTCTGAAGTAACAAATCAAACAAAAACACAAAACAAGAAGAAGAAAAAAAATCACATCTTGCTTGCTTTCTAATAGAAAAGAAGGATTTTTGAACGGTTAAACGCAGAAAGAGCAGAGACCTTAGGGCAGAAAATAGCAACGGCGTTTTGGGCACCGAAGGAGGCAAGACCAGAAGCTCCCCAAGAGACGTTGTTGACGACTCTGTTGCATCCTGCTCCTATGAACACTCTCTTCGCTTCGACTTCGGTGTTTTCCGACATTTTTATCAGAAGTAGACTATTGATTGAAGAATTACGAAGTTACTTCTCCGTTTCAGCTACAACAAGTAATATATCACCGGCGGCGGAAAACCTCGCCGGGAATTGTAAAGCTGAAGTTTTTCAGGGGAAAGCGGAGCCAAACAAGGGTTATTACTTTTGAGTTCTGGCTTGTAATTTGGAATTATTAATGGGCTTAAATGTTGGGCCCAAAAAGTGTAGTGTTGTAGGACGCGTAAAAATAACTAAAAAGGATGTTTTGTTTTATCAACATTTGTGTCGGTCGATATTCATGGAAAACATAATGTTTGGTCACATATTTTTTATCGTCTTCAGAGGAAAAGTTTTCATGTTTACATACCAATCTAATGTTATCCAATGTGATGAGGCCATCTTTATTTTGGTGAAAGCAGTGAAATTGAGTCCTCAGGTAAAGAATTGCATCTAATTCATGCTGGATTATATATTTTGTGACTGAAAGTCTATAGTATATTTTTTTCGGAGTTATATATATATATAAAAATAATAATCTAGTTTCTATAGTTTTCATAATAATCTATAGTTTTAATACATTATTCAATTCCAAGAATCAGACTACAAGTTTTTTTTTTGTTTCTTTTCCTTTTCATAGAGTTGTTATGTCAATTACAATAGCTCGGTTTCAATTATTGTTGAGAAGTTGAAAAGAATAACAAATGCTTTGTTCCTTCCTGTAACATGTGTTGGCATTGATAGGAACAATTAACGAAATCAGATACATTTAAAACACATACACACAAAAATGAAAATACATATAGAGACAGTGTTCATGGAGCTCCGTTTCTTCTCTTTCTTTCATACTCTGCATTTGCTCTGTTTCTTCGTCCATCTCTGTTTCTGCGACTTTTCAACAGCTTCAAGTCTTGATTTTGAGGGTCTTCTCTCAAGCAAAATCAGACGCCTGTCAGAAAATTACAAGAAGTTTAAGCAACTGAAGTGAGCTGCTTAAGCAAGTGGACAAAGATTACAAATCCACTATAGTCTCCTCATGTACCTTACGTTAAATAGAGAGAGCTTGTAGACGGAAACAATCAGGTACATTCGTCATCGTCGAGAAGAGACAGACAATCAAATATGTTACTCGTGGTACATTCGTCATCATCATCAAACGTAGGACCATCTTTTTGCAGGTGAGCTTCGGCTGATATTGTTGATATGCTCGTGGTGGGATCAGGCTCCTCTTCTGGTGGGCTTATAGAAGATGTTGCAGCACTTGTCGATGACTTCATCATAATAAACCTGGGATTCTCTACATAGTCTACAAATACTTCAACTCTACCGCCAAATTGGTTAGCTCCAAAATTTTTGATTTCAACACTTTGGAGAGTGTTCCTTTCAAGACTCAAGTAGAAAACATAAAACGGCCTAGATGCATCCCAACGCTGCATCGACAAAATAATATCACCTGTAGCAGTCTCTCCAGCGACGGTAAGATTGTAGTAACCAGCGACTCCATCGTCGTTAAAACGAAAGGAGAAACGATTCGACCATTCCAGTTTTGGGTTCTCGACATCCTTTATAACCCACATACACACATCACGGGGACACCATCCACCGAGAGTAACCATGTCTAATTTACCCTTGTAGTTGATCAGTTTAGTATTGTTCCTATCAATAGTGAAGTCTATATCTATAGACTTGAATTTCTCAGACCTAACATCAAAGCAAACTACCATAGAAGGTGAACCATATTTTTGAGCTAAGTAAGCTAAGTAGTACACTACCCCATTGATGTATATCCCTTCATCACAAGGAACATGGTTGAAGGGACAATGGATCTTCTTCCAGGAATCGTTTCCAGTTCCTAGTGACAAGATCTGGTCCGGCTCTTTCTCTATATTGAACCATGGTGAATGGCTAATGCAAAACACCTTGTATTGTTTCTCTACCGGATCAAACCCGAAAAAGATTTTCCAATCAGTACTCTTCCATCTCCATTTAGGTAACGGTAAGGTGGCGGCGTGCTGTCCCGTGCTAGGGTTACATATCTTATGCACTAGACCGTCATACTTTTCTGAGATTGGCATACATTGAAAGAAACAGATAAAACCAGAGGCATGACCACAAAACTCTAGCGACCGGTTTCCAGGGATGTCCATGTGAAAATTGGCGCTTACTGCAAGAGATGACAATGAATTCTCATATGGATTCTGAGGCTGAGGCGACGTCAAGAAACACCATTCATCATCGAGTTCGACGGCAAACAAGAGTCGCGGGGGCCGAGCCGTGAACCTGGTCAGGAGCAAGTCGGTGAAATATGGACTGAGGAGCATGGAGTTCCATTGCTTCGACACGCAACAAAACCTAAGCATTGATTTGGCAGGCAGTCTCGAGAGTATCTCCATGACGAGATCCGTCGGGATGGAATCTGAGCTTCCTCCTCTATTCATTATAAGATTGTGTCCCAACTTTGAAGATGGTGGTGTGTGTTTTTGGTTCCAGATAAATTATACCACCGGCTCTTCTAGTCTAGGGTTTTTAAAGGGGTACAGTCTCTTCAAGTAAGTACGAACCAAAACATAAAAGGAAAAGTTGTAAAATAAATATGAATAAGATTAGTTCTAATCAGTTACATTCGTCACCATCGAAAAGACAAAGAGAATCAAATTTGTTAATAGTCATAAACGTACTGCTCGTGAGACAGACAATCAAATCTGTTACTCGTGGTACATTCGTCATCATCATCAAACATAGGACCATCTTTTTGCAGGTAAGCTTCGGCTGATATTGTTGATATGCTCGTGGTGGGATCAGGCTCCTCTTCTGGTGGGCTAATAGAAGATGTTGCAGCACCTGTCGATGACTTCATCATAATAAACCTGAGATTCTCTACATAGTCTACAAAGACTTCAACTCTACCGCCAAATTGGTTAGCTCCAAGATTTTTGATTTCAACACTTCGGAGAGTGTTCCTTTCGGGACTCAAGTAGAAAACATAAAACGGCCTAGATGCATCCCAACGCTGCATCGACAAAATAATATCACCTGTAGCAGTCCCTCCAGCGACGGTAAGATTGTAGTAACCAGCGACTCCATCGTCGTTAAAACGAAAGGAGAAACTATTCGACCATTCCAGTTTTGGGTTCTCGACATCCTTTATAACCCACATACACACATCACGGGGACACCATCCACCGAGAGTAACCATGCATAATTTACCCTTGTAGTTGATCAGTTTAGTATTGTTCCTATCAATAGTGAAATCTATATTTATAGACTTGAATTTCTCAGACCTAACATCAAAGCAAACTACCATAGAAGGTGAACCATATTTTTGAGCTAAGTAAGCTAAGTAGTACACTACCCCATTGATGTATATCCCTTCATCACAAGGAACATGGTTGAAGGGACAATGGATCTTCTTCCATGAATCGTTTCCAGTTCCTAGTGACAAGATCTGGTCCGACTCTTTCTCTATATTGAACCATGGTGAATGGCTAATGCAAAACACCTTGTATTGTTTCTCAACCGGATCAAATCCGAAAAAGCTTTTCCAATCAGTACTCTTCTATCTCCATTTAGGTAACGGTAAGGTGGCGGCGTGCTGTCCCGTGCTAGGGTTACATATCTTATGCACTAGACCGTCATACTTTTCTGAGATCGGCATACATTGAAAGTAACAGATAAAACCAGAGGCATGACCACAAAACTCTAGCGACCGGTTTCCAGGGATGTCCATTTGAAAATTGGCGCTTACTGCAAGAGATGACAATGAATTCTCATATGGATTCTGAGGCTGAGGCGACGTCAAGAAACACCATTCATCATCGAGTTCGACGGCAAACAAGAGTTGCGGGGGCCGAGCCGTGAACCTGGTCAGGAGCAAGTCGGTGAAATATGGACTGAGGAGCATGGAGTTCCATTGCTTCGACACACAACAAAACCTAAGCATTGATTTGGCAGGCAGTCTCGAGAGTATCTCCATGACGAGATCCGTCGGGATGGAATCTGAGCTTTCTCCTCTATTCATTATAAGATTGTGTCCCAACTTTGAAGATGGTGGTGTGTGTTTTTGGTTCCAGATAAATTATACAACCGGCTCTTCTAGTCTAGGGTTTTTAAAGGGGTACAGTCTCTTCAAGTAAGTATGAACCAAAACATAAAAGGAAAAGTTGTAAAATAAATATGAATAGGATTAGTTCTAATCAGTTACATTCGTCACCATCGAAAAGACAAAGAGAATCAAATTTGTTAATAGTCATAAACGTACTGCTCGTGAGACAGACAATCAAATCTGTTACTCGTGGTACATTCGTCATCATCATCAAACGTAGGACCATCTTTTTGCAGGTGAGCTTCGGCTGATATTGTTGATGTGCTCGTGGTAGGATCAGGCTCCTCTTCTGGTGGGCTTATAGAAGATGTTGCAGCATCTGTCGACGACTTCATCATGATAAACCTGGGATTCTCTACATAGTCTACAAAGACTTCAACTCTACCGCCAAATTGCTTAGCTCCAAGACCTTTGATTTCAACTCTTTGGAGAGTGTCCCTTTCAAGACTCACGTAGAAAACATAAAACGGCCTAGATGCATCCCAACGCTGCATCGACAAAATAATATCACCTGTAGCAGTCCCTCCAGCGATGGTAAGATTGTAGTAACCAGCGACTCCATCGTCGTTAAAACGAAAGGAGAAACTATTCGACCATTCCAGTTTTGGGTTCTCGACATCCTTTATAACCCACATACACACATCACGGGGACACCATCCACCGAGAGTAACCATGCCTAATTTACCCTTGTAGTTGATCAGTTTAGTATTGTTCCTATCAATAGTGAAGTCTATATCTATAGACTTGAATTTCTCAGACCTAACATCAAAGCAAACTACCATAGAAGGTGAACCATATTTTTGAGCTAAGTAAGCTAAGTAGTACACTACCCCATTGATGTATATCCCTTCATCACAAGGAACATGGTTGAAGGGACAATGGATCTTCTTCCATGAATCGTTTCCAGTTCCTAGTGACAAGATCTGGTCCGGCTATTTCTCTATATTGAACCATGGTGAATGGCTAATGCAAAACACCTTGTATTGTTTCTCAACCGGATCAAACCCGAAAAAGCTTTTCCAATCAGTACTCTTCCATCTCCATTTAGGTAACGGTAAGGTGGCGGCGTGCTGTCCCGTGCTAGGGTTACATATCTTATGCACTAGACCGTCATACTTTTCTGAGATCGGCATACGTTGAAAGTAACAGATAAAACCAGAGGCATGACCACAAAACTCTAGCGACCGGTTTCCAGGGATGTCCATGTGAAAATTGGTGCTTACTGCAAGAGATGACAATGAATTCTCATATGGATTCTGAGGCTGAGGCGACGTCAAGAAACACCATTCATCATCGAGTTCGACGGCAAACAAGAGTCGCGGGGGCCGAGCCGTGAACCTGGTCAGGAGCAAGTCGGTGAAATATGGACTGAGGAGCATGGAGTTCCATTGCTTCGACACGCAACAAAACCTAAGCATTGATTTGGCAGGCAGTCTCGAGAGTATCTCCATGACGAGATCCGTCAGGATGGAATCTGAGCTTTCTCCTCTATTCATTATAAGATTGTGTCCCAACTTTGAAGATGGTAGTGTGTGTTTTTGGTTCCAGATAAATTATACAACCGGCTCTTCTAGTCTAGGGTTTTTAAATGGGTACAGTCTCTTCAAGTAAGTATGAACCAAAACATAAAAGGAAAAGTTGTAAAATTAATATGAATAGGATTAGTTCTAATCAGTTACATTCGTCACCATCGAAAAGACAAAGAGAATCAAATTTGTTAATAGTCATAAACGTACTGCTCGTGAGACAGACAATCAAATCTGTTACTCGTGGTACATTCGTCATCATCATCAAACGTAGGACCATCTTTTTGCAGGTGAGCTTCGGCTGATATTGTTGATGTGCTCGTGGTAGGATCAGGCTCCTCTTCTGGTGGGCTTATAGAAGATGTTGCAGCATCTGTCGACGACTTCATCATGATAAACCTGGGATTCTCTACATAGTCTACAAAGACTTCAACTCTACCGCCAAATTGCTTAGCTCCAAGACCTTTGATTTCAACTCTTTGGAGAGTGTCCCTTTCAAGGCTCACGTAGAAAACATAAAATGGCCTAGATGCATCCCAACGCTGCATCGACAAAATAATATCACCTGTATCAGTCCCTCCAGCGACGGTAAGATTGTAGTAACCAGCGACTCCATCGTCGTTAAAACGAAAGGAGAAACTATTCGACCATTCCAGTTTTGGGTTCTCGACATCCTTTATAACCCACATACACACATCACGGGGACACCATCCACCGAGAGTAACCATGCCTAATTTACCCTTGTAGTTGATCAGTTTAGTATTGTTCCTATCAATAGTGAAGTCTATATCTATAGACTTGAATTTCTCAGACCTAACATCAAAGCAAACTACCATAGAAGGTGAACCATATTTTTGAGCTAAGTAAGCTAAGTAGTACACTACCCCATTGATGTATATCCCTTCATCACAAGGAACATGGTTGAAGGGATAATGGATCTTCTTCCAGGAATCGTTTCCAGTTCCTAGTGACAAGATCTGGTCCGGCTCTTTCTCTATATTGAACCATGGTGAATGGCTAATGCAAAACACCTTGTATTGTTTCTCAACCGGATCAAACCCGAAAAAGATTTTCCAATCAGTACTCTTCCATCTCCATTTAGGTAACGGTAAGGTGGCGGCGTGCTGTCCCGTGCTAGGGTTACATATCTTATGCACTAGACCGTCATACTTTTCTGAGATCGGCATACGTTGAAAGTAACAGATAAAACCAGAGGCATGACCACAAAACTCTAGCGACCGGTTTCCAGGGATGTCCATGTGAAAATTGGCGCTTACTGCAAGAGATGACAATGAATTCTCATATGGATTCTGAGGCTGAGGCGACGTCAAGAAACACCATTCATCATCGAGTTCAACGGCAAACAAGAGTCGCGGGGGCCGAGCCGTGAACCTGGTCAGGAGCAAGTCGGTGAAATATGGACTGAGGAGCATGGAGTTCCATTGCTTCGACACGCAACAAAACCTAAGCATTGATTTGGCAGGCAGTCTCGAGAGTATCTCCATGACGAGATCCGTCGGGATGGAATCTGAGCTTTCTCCTCTATTCATCATAAGATTGTGTCCCAACTTTGAAGATGGTGGTGTGTGTTTTTGGTTCCAGATAAATTATACCACCGGCTCTTCTAGTCTAGGGTTTTTAAAGGGGTACAGTCTCTTCAAGTAAGTATGAACCAAAACATAAAAGGAAAAGTTGTAAAATAAATATGAATATGATTAGTTCTAATCAGTTACATTCGTCACCATCGAAAAGACAAAGAGAATCAAATTTTTTAATAGTCATAAACGTAATGCTCGTGAGACAGACAATCAAATCTATTACTCGTGGTACATTCGTCATCATCATCAAACGTAGGACCATCTTTTTGCAGGTGAGCTTCGGCTGATATTGTTGATGTGCTCGTGGTGGGATCAGGCTCCTCTTCTGGTGGCCTTATAGAAGATGTTGCAGCATCTGTCGACGACTTCATCATGATAAACCTGGGATTCTCTACCTAGTCTACAAAGACTTCAACTCTACCGCCAAATTGCTTAGCTCCAAGACCTTTGATTTCAATTCTTTGGAGAGTGTCCCTTTCAAGGCTCATGTAGAAAACATAAAACGGCTTAGATGCATGCAGATTCACCATCGACAAAACAGTGTCGCCTGTAGCAGTCCCTCCAGCGACGGAAAGATTGTAGAAATCGTTAAAGCAAAAGGAGAAACGATTCGACCATTCTGGTTTCAGGTTCTCGACATCCTTTATAACCCACATCCTTTATAACCCACAAACTCAACTCAGTGAAACCACCTTCACCACGGTAAAAAATACTTTCATCATCCCTGAGAATAACCACGCCTAATTTACCCTTGTAGTTGATCAGTTTATAAGAGCATCCACAGTAGAGATCTCTTCTATGAGATTCTTAAATATATTTTATTATTAAATGTATTATTAATTTAAGTTAAGAGCTTCATTAGCTTTTTAAAAAATTTAAGACATGCAATAGAGAACACATTAACAGGATTCTTAAAAATTAAAAAATATTCTACTAATACGTAGTTCAAATATGATAAAATCAGAGATCATTCATGGATTTGCTATACATCATTCATGGATTTGCTACCTCATCAAAGATCAAGAGAGCATCGAATTCTGGTACACACCATCAAACAAGCTGCTGCAAACGAGAACGGCCCTTCTCAAAGGAAGCAATAAGGCTATTGTATGTCAAGAATACTACTCCGTCTTAAACACCGACATTCTTTAAGTCAAGTTTAGAATAAGGTAGCTTGTTCAAAGGATTCACTGCACGTAAAACATATTGCTATTTAGTTGCAGACAAAACAAAGCAATGATAATCAGACTGGACACACACATGTTCACTTGACTGATTGCAAAATATCAGAAAACTTATTCACCAACATCGTTGCCATGATCTGTTATATTTTTCCCTTTCTTAATATTTTGAAAATAATTCCAGGCTCACTAGATTAAGAATCACAAATCCGTCCGAATACATATACAAACATCAGCTACCCATAACATTTTCTAGGCATGATGACACCATAAACGGAGAAAGTAAAGAGTGTTAAGTGCTTTATAATAACCCTGAACTAATATATTTACCCTACGTCATCAGTCATAACAAGTATCTAAATAAGCTTTCTGCGTAACATACGAAGCATTATGGAACCAAGAAAATAAGTGAATAACAAACTCGATTAACAACCAAAATCAAGATAATACCTCCAACGCATGTGCCACCCACATCATCCAAGTCTCTTCTTGTATCATACTTAAAGTCTGAGCCAACAGAAATCCACCTATGTAGATCATAGAGAATTAGAACTCGTTTCATCCTACTTTGAGTTATCTAAAACATCAAACAAAGGCACAATGTAGGCACAACTATGCCTCAATCGAACCTTTTAACTGAGCAGGGTCGTTCTTCTCAACACGACGAGGAGGAAGCTGCTTGATTATCTTTTTATCCTCTTCTCCGTTGCTTGTCTCTAGTGATGAAGCCTTCACAATGTGGCTCTTCGACTTCAGATGCTGCTCATGAGCCTTGGGGCTCCTGTAACCTTTACCACAGATTCCACAGCTATAAAGCATAGGTGCTTCACTAGATTTGATCTTCTCCTGAGCAATCGCAGCTTGTCTAGCTTCAAACAAAGCTTCTGTAACTCCGGGAACACCAGCAATCTAACATCACCAAAAAAGTTCAAAGTTTGTATAAACCCAAACAGATTCATCATAATCACAAGAACATAAAAGCCTTTTCTTCTTCGTTCCTTCCCAATAAATTACAGAATCGCTTCATCACAATCAGGAATCTACAACTCAAGGAAGCTTATAAAGCAACAAATGAATCAAGAAAGACAACAATCTACTCGATCAAAAGCTCAAATGAACAAAATAGACAAAAGAGAGTCATATCCTACGAAGCTAAATAGATTATTAAACGTGAATCAATAGAATGCACTAATGCAGAGCGAAGACCAAGTTGTGACCTTTCGACGACGACTCGAACTGGAACTCCGGATCCTTTTCTGGGTAGCTCGGTTTCACGAAATCTCGGCTGGTTATCTCCGTGTCGCTTATCTCCGTCACCGAAATCGATTGTTGTAACTGTCTCATCCATCATCATCTTCATTTCTCACCACCAAACACACCCGCCAACTTCTTAAAAAAACCCACTGCAAACCACAATCCCAGAAGTTCCGACTGTTTATCGGAAACAATTACTTAAGATTTTGAAACTGCTCAATAGAATGCAAATCGGAGATGGAAGAGAAGAAGAAGAAGAAGAAGAAGAAGAAGAAGACGAAGAGAGAAGATCGATTGAAACCAGAGAGAAAATAAGAAACTTTGATTTTCAACACAAATCAGGTTTAGCCACGTTTCAGGAGAGACGCTCCTTCCGCCCCTGCGCAGAGAGTCGACTCTGCATCATAATCGGGCCAGGTCATTTTTTTTTTTTTTTTTTCTTTTCTTTTTTATTTAGAATCTTTTTAAAACTGTCATTACAGATGCTCTAAAGCGTACTAGTATGATAACTACGAAAATCTATATCTATAAACTTGAAAGTCGTTCAGCTAAGTAGTACACAACCCCATTGATGCATATCCTCAAGGAACATGGTTAAAGGGACAATGGATCTTCCTCCAAGAGTCGTTTCCAATTCCTAGTGTCAAGATGGCTAATGCAAAACACCTTGTATTGTTTCTTAACCGGATCAAACCCGAAAAAGCTTTTCCAATAAGTACTCTTCATTCTCCATTTGGGTAATGGTAACCTGGTGAACTGCTCCGTGCTAGGGTTACATATCTTATGTACTAGACCGTCATATTCTTTTGAGATCGGCACACGTTGAGAGTAACAGATAAAACCAGAGGCATGACCACAAAACTCTAGCGGCCGGTTTCCAAGGATCTCCATGTGAAAATCGTCGCTTACTGCAAGAGACGACGACGAATTCTCATATGGATTCTGAGGCTAAGGCGACTTCAAGAGACACCATTCATCATCGAACCGTTCGACGGCAAACAAGAGTCGCGGGGGCCGAGCCGTGAACCTGGTCAGGAGAAAATCGGTGAAATATGGACTGAGAAGCATGGAGTTCCATTGCTTCGACACGCAACAAAACCTAAGCATTGATTTGGCAGGCAGTCTCGAGAGTATCTCCATGACGAGATCCATCGGGATGGAATCTGAGCTTTCTCCTCTATTCATTATAAGATTGTGTTCGAACTTTGAAGATGGTGGTGTGTGTTTTTGGTTCCAGATAAATTATACCACCGGCTCTTCTAGTCTAGGGTTTTTAAAAGGGTACAGTCTCTTCAAGTAAGTATGAACCAAAACATAAAAGGAAAAGTTGTAAAATAAATATGAATATGTTGTGAATAGAGATGAAGATAAAAAGGAATTTGTGTTGTGTTATTCCAATGAATAAGTGGTCTTTTATATAGGAGTACAAAGAGAGGGTTTTACTTGGTGACAAAGTAAAACCTAGCTTACAAGTAACTCTAGAACCTTCTAGAAAGTGGGCCTTATGGGCTTATAATGGGCATCACATAATAATTCATAACAGTCTCCCTTGATGTTCATTATACAAACTATTCTTTAAAGCGCGTAGGATGCTGCCTCGTTAAAAACCTTGTTAGGAAAACCCAGTGGGAAAAACCATAGCTAAGGGAAAAAGAGTGCAATGCGCATTAACTCCCCCTCATGACTACATCACTTGATATCTTTGAGATGACAAAATCTAATATGATGAGATAACTTCTTGAAGTAACGCTTTGGTAAATCTTTCTGTTGAATCTTCACTTGAATGAATTTGTAGGATACATACGTCGCCATTCTTCTGCAATGCATGACTCTTGATAATGATTCGTCTTGATCATTCTCTTTACTTGATCTTATTATAGTATAACAAATACTTTGGAAGGGTGATAAACTTTTCATCTTTACATTTCTCTTTAGATGTATATCATTTGTGTGTTCTTTGTTGCCTCATTAAAACCTTTCATGGAAAAATCCAATGGGATAAAAACCATGATAAGGAAAAAGAGTACAACCGCACACATCATCATATTTCTCCCCCTTGGAAGTATCTTCTTCAGGAGATGCATTCCAATCATATATACCATATTTCGGCAATCATTATAAGTATAAGCTTAATGAATAAACTCGTATGATTATATTATAATCTCTTAGGTTACTGGACTTCTTGTCCATAACAACTTTTTCATATAAACAACTATTTCTTGATCTTTTGAACTTCAAGTCTAAGCTTCATTTAACTTACAACATTCTAAAGTTGTATGGTACATACTTATACATAAGATGTTATTCATGCTCTTCTTTACTATTTTAGCTTTCTTTCTTGTTATACTAAATCATATCTCTCAATCATGAAATAGATAAATACATTGCTCAACTAGCAATTTACAGGATCAAAATATTGTGAGCATTCTTTATGTAAATTCTTCAAGGATCATTTGAGATAGTATCTCTATCACTTAAATATCTCAATTTGGAACACTTGAAGACAATGTCATCTTTTCCAAAGATTTTATTTCCAAATTACAATTTGGGATAACTCTTCAAGAGATTTGATTATATTCAAATCTAGGATCCTCTTGATCCATAATCTTTTGGTAAATACATATGGGTATATTGGTTAACTTTATAATATTCACTTATACCACATAAAACATTTTTGTCCTAATTCAATCGAATAATTAGAATCTTCAGGAACATAATTTTGACAATCTTAATCCTTCGGAATTTTGTATCCTTCTGGGATTTTATTTAAGTTTCATTATCCAGTGGGTAGTATAAGTCAAGTTCTTCTCTTATTGCCAGACTGATAAGGAACTTGAAAGTAGTTGCATCCACAACAGAAGAGTTTGTCTCTTCATATTTAATTTCATATTTATCATTCTTTCATATAAAGTCTTCTTTATATCCCACTGGTTTTACACCTTAGGTGTATGGACAACTGGTCCAAATACTTATCTCTTTTCAAGAGATTTTAACTATATGACTATTGCTTCTTTATAATTTGGCCAATCATATCTTTGTGTACACTTTGCAATAGATTTTGTGATCCTCTTTCTCATTTATCATATCAACTGCTACAGTGCATGCAATAATATTTACGACGTCGTTTTGCTTTTCGGTTCCATTTTATTTTAGACATGACATAACTTGTTGAGATCGATCTCTTTATTGTCTCAGGTACCTGACTTTCTTTCTTGTCATGTTTAATGTCTCTTCTTGAGATCATTCAAAAATCTATCTCCTCACTCTGACCATTGTCAATTCTGCTCCTTTTCTTTTCTGAGGATATTTAAGTTTGGAACCAATAAGTCTATCACGCTTCATGCGTTCTTTAAACTCTTTAGCAGCTTGATATTATCCTTCTGGAACATTAAATTTTATAGGAGCCTTTATAGCTGGTATGTGATCTTGTCACTCTATTTGGATCAATAAATGTTTCTGGCAACTGATTTTTTAAACGTTGTAAATGAATTATCTTTTGGACTTTCATTCACATTCTTTAATCTGAGGATCAATGATAGTTCATTCCAACTTATCTTCTCTTCAAGTTCTTCAATGGATGTCTATAGACCTATTGATAATTTCTGCATATTTTTTGAACCGGAATGGTCTAACCAGCTCATGCCAAACTATGTTATATTCCTTAAACTTCTGGTTTACTATATAACATTTATCTCCATTACACAATGTTTATATATTACAATCTATTAAAAAGTGTATGTAATTTCTCCAAAATACTTTTGCTGCATTTAATAATACTCTAGATTTGAAGGTATTCAAATTTTCCTTCTTTATTGTCTTAACTTGATTAACTTTGAAATCCATTAAAATTACCTTATAAATGATTCATCAAGATCATTTTGACTTTGAACATAATCTTCTAGATGTTTTACTTACTATGGATTGTGGGATTCATCAATTCTCCCCCTCAAGATGATGACACTTCAGGTTCATCTATTTTGAATTGAATCCCAATCTAAAATCAGTAACATATCCAACTTGGATTATGTCTTCTATCTTTGATTCTTTAAACTTTTAAGATTTGAGAGATATAATGCATCAATAATTGCATTCCTACTGGCAAATATATCTATTATTCTGGACCTTTCAATAATCCACATATTACCAGATATTGTACTCACACTGGTTTATTTCATCTTTATACAAAAGATTTACCTCTTGTTTATACCATCTTTATTTTCTCACTTCTTGTAAGAATTTGAGTTCTTGAAATAAAACTTTTGATCTAGATCTTGATCATATCCATTTCATATTCACATTTATGACTACTTCTTGAGCCAGTTCCTTGTCTAATTTTATTAACATGATTCTTTTTCTATCCCACTATATAATGTCACATTCTCTTCAAGGAATGAACCATAAATAATTAGATATAATTCATGACTTTTTATGGATAACTCATTTATCTTTTCAAAATAGTTTTTTAACTTCATTTGATATTGTCTACAAGACAATATTGTTTTTCTAAGGATTAGAGTATGTCTTCTAGCATCTTTAGATTAGTGATATTCTCTTCACATAATCTTCAACATAATAAGAATTATTTACAGACTTCAAGTCTTATAATCTTAGATGCAAAGACTCATAATGAGCTTTAGGTAATATCACATTATAGTGATTATACTTTTCCTTAGATTTATGTAAAGAACTTAGGGATCTTTTACAATAAAATACAAGATATTCTTATAGATGATGGTAGAAAATAAATATTATATAACTATATATATATATATAAATGAAAGCATATTAAAAAAAACAAATAATATCAATAACATGTATCATCAATATTATCACTTTAGGTGACAACTTGAATTATTTTTTAAAAAATCAAAGAGATAATATATAATTACAAAATACTTCTTGATTATGTCTGCAGAACAATAATATTTACATCTTTATATAAGTAATATTATATCCACTATATTCACTTATAGACTTCAAGTCATATGGTTCTAGATGCAATCATGCATTATAAGTTTGGTCATATCACATTCTGGTGATCATGCATTTTTTTTATATTGCTCTATGTCAATTATTTGATCTTAAAATCATCAAAAATGTAATGCC